CTGTTCGTGGGATGCTGCTGCGCGCAATTGGCTGCCATGTTTCACCCACAAAATATACAGATGATCCACTTTACAGTATATTCTGCAAAGCGCTATAAGACATATAAGTTATTATAAATATTGTTGGTGCAAAACAGTAAGGAGAGGGGAGAAAGAATTTGATATCACATCAGGAATGAACATTTGATATAGCGTTGGCGCTATATCAAGTGCAAGGATTATTATATTATTCAATAATGCGCCAAGGATACTTTGTCCTGCTTGCAGTTGCAGTCTGCCAGCAAGATTAAACAGTGTTTCTGCATCACCTCCAAACACAGATTACATTTTCATTAATTTCCGAAAGTGCTTTCTTTGATTGGAGTAATAATGCTCAAGATCATCTTTTGCTAATTCTGCTAACACGTCTTTGCGCACACCGCAAAAAACAACGGTGACTTCGCATTTTGTTTTCAAATTACACGGCATGTCTGACAATTCATACTCATTTAGAATGAATAAAATGTAATAGGCACAAAGGATTCTAGCGTTTATCCACAACACAGTGTTAAGACTTCTAAATAATTTCCACCCACGTAATGTTTTATTTGGCATGTGAACTTGACATGTTAAGCCTTAACCTGTTTTTTCCAACTAACATTTGCCTGTAACAGATGTTGCTGGATTACTGAATCATCACTGTAATGGCATCGCTCTTGGTCAATTCAGGAAATGAGGTGTCAAGTCCTCAGGAATTTAACCTGTTGACGGCTGAATGGCAAAGCCGCGAACATTTTTTCGACCCATTACAATTTCTATCAATTTGAATTTCTGACTTGTAAAATTGCACTTTGCCCACTGGTCATAAAATTGCATTGTGATTATTTTGCTGAATGCCAAATTACGTTAGCATCTCCAGGCACACGAACTGTGGGAGGAAAAAAAGCGTACAAATGGCCAAAAATGGTGCCTTGGGTCTTTGGGATGTAAAGTACTTTGTGCTTCGAGTCAATCTTTGAGCTGTATGTGTTCCTTGCTGGACATACATTTCTTTTTGGTCCTGCCTTTCGAATGCCTTTTCAACACCGTAAAGCTACTATTCCTAGCGACACCTAAAAAACACTATAATCCTTGCATTTAGCGCCTTATTACGTCTTCTTGGATGTCTCAACGCGCTTTACGGAATATACTGTAGAATTTGTGGGCGTAACACGGTAGACAATTGCGCACAGCAGTGTCCCACAAGCAATCGTGGATTGAGTGACCAAATTATTATCATGATTATTTTTTTTCCCACTTCAGAACACCACAAACAAGTACTGGCTTATCACTCTTGGACACTTGCATCTGCAATGCAAGTTAACATAGGAGGCACTCAGTACCAGAAACGAGCACAGTTTATATCGACTCCAGAAGTGACTTGTAGTTTCTCAATAAGAGCAAATGCAATCCATGATCTCAAGCATTCCAGTGTCTCATTAGCTGCACATGTTCTAGCTCCTTAATTTCCTGTTAACAGGCCCTCACAGCTTTGCTTAGGATTTCCATGCAAATAAAGATTCAATGATCCTTAAGCCAACATTCCTTGCCCGCTATGACTCTCAGCTCGTAGTTTCTATCAGTTCTTCTGTAAAATGTGTGTCTCACTGTGAATGTTTAGCACTCGTAATGGGTTATAAAAATAATAACAATCCTTGCATTGGATATAGCGCCTTGTCACGTCGTTGAGAAGTCTCAAAGCGCTTCACAGGATACACTGTAAATTGGAGTGACTGTGTATTTTGTGGTTTCATTGATTCCTCACACAAAAAGACAGTGACATTCGAAGGCCAACGTCAGTGAGAAATCGAGGTAAAGGAAAACATAAGCAAGAAATTGGGAGAAAAATGTGTAGCACGGACTGATGACCGGTTCTGTGGGCCATGGTAAACCTAAACAGCCTCACTGAAAGTCATGGAACAGTTAAAATGCAAAGGATAATCCAACAGTCACCCAGTAAACAGAAAACCACAAGCACTTAAAATCTGTTCCATTACCAACATCGCTGCCTATTTTCATAAGAAATTATCTCATACACCGAGCATTCATCTACTCAAACATTTTTTCGTCTAAATAATGGATTTTTTTTCCCAATAGTGATGTTTTTTAGGGTCACTCTGTCCGGACACATTAGGCTTGCAATTTGAGTGACTAATATTTAATTTCCCTCCCAAAATAGATTGGTACATTAATGCATCAAGTGGTAAACAGGACAAAGGTCCCATGTTCGATCCCTTGTTTATCTTGAACTCGTCCATCTCCAGTGGTAATAGTCAGCGCGGAAGGATAAGAGCGTGTGTGCATGCAGACATTTGTATTTATGCTTCCCAACCTACTTCCCGCAGCCTCTGCTCGACTGGCTCTGGCCTCCTGCATGTCCCCCGTGCCCTCAAATGCAAGGATTATTATTATTATTATATAAGAAATGCGATAGCATATTGTGAAGAGGATGACACAGTTAATTTACCGTTTTGCAGTCTTTTCTGAAAAAGCTCACAAAAAAAGCCTTTGTCAATTTAGTTGCCACACTAAGGTACAGCTAACACTGTCCGACCCTAACACACATACAATATGTTCCTTGTCACTCGCTGGCAACAGAGAGATGCATTTAAGCGCGCAATATAAATCTTTCTAAAAATTAGTCAGAGTCCTCAGCAAGTCGGAACTGTATTGAAGACAATTCTGATGCAATAGTTTAACCACAACAAAGTAGACACATAGGCAGCTTTGAAAACAGCAGGAAATTTCCCCTCTCTTTGACTTAAGACATCGCTAAACTCTCTCTGAAATACTGCAAGTATTGAAACACAAGTGTCAATTAATCAATGACCCACAGGCGACAATTCCATCAGGACACTTATTTCTCCATTTACTCACTGCGGGCGGTCTTGTAAACGCAGAATTTCAATTTACTGTTAAAACTTTTAACATAGTTATGTCAAGGCATTTTGTACTACAAATAGCTTCAGCTACATAGCAAAAAGTCACAGAATCCTACACTTTACGAAACGGTGCGGGGGGGAGAGGAGAGAGAAGAGCGAGAGATGTTGCACCCCAGTAGTAAAAGCTGAGCACACTCAACAATGTGTTTAAGCAGTGCGATTTTCCATCGTGTGAGTACTTCAAAGTGCAAAAAACTTCAAGCCATGTGAAGCATCAACCCCCTTGCATTATAATAATCCTTGCATTTGATTAACGCCTCATTCAAGTCGTTGAGCCATCTCAAACGCTTCACAGACTGTAAAGTGACTCGACTGTATATTTTATATCGCAGAGCCTTTAGTTACAAAATGCGACAAAAGATATTTTAAAGCAGAGAGTCAACAAGGAATCTGCATTTCAATTGGTATGATTCACAACGGCAAAAAATGCCATTTCATATCAGCATGAACTGAGTTGCACAAGCTACAAAGCCTATGATTTTTCCCCCAGAGCCACAGGACTGAATTCCCATCCTGACACAGCTTTGAGCCCCACAGCTCCCATTACTCAACCTGCCGCAGTCAAACTGAATTGCATTCGATCTCGGTTGGATGCAAATGGACGTCAGAAAAGATGATCATTATAGTGAGTGTTAAGCTCCACTCAGCCTGTGTGCATGGTTACATTAGAAGGAGCGGGAATGGAAAGATATCATGGTACTTTTTCTCGCATTGTACACAAGTGAAAAACTGGTATGCAAAAGAGGTATACTTCTGCAAATATACCAGTGTAGGCACGACAAGTGTTCAGGTTCTTTTCACAATGAACAGAGAATTTCCTGCCAAGGCTTATCCTGTGATGTTGACTCAACTACCTGAACTTTAAACAGGTGTCCCTTCCATATAAGGCGGTCCCTGCACCTTCCCCATCTCTCCTGAACGCTCTCCGCCCTTGTACGGTATATTGATTTCCAGAGTGGGGATTTCACTCTCGATGTGTTTCTAATACAAGAGTTTAAGACGAGGAAATCAGAAGATTACAGACATTTGGAATCCTTTATAAAAAAGGTCTTAAATCCAGTCAGTAATCAGTGAAAATGGAAGTAGGATTAAGTGCGATGCTGGACATGTAGCTTCTTGATGATTAACTTTGGTCTGACTTTCAGCACTATAATATGGGCAGTGGAAGTTTTTTTATCATCAGAGCAGCCCAGATAAGGAGTTGGACAAATCTTGCACCATTTGCTCTATTTTGTCCCACAATATTCCTTACCCCCAATGAGCAAAATAGCAAAACTACATACAATGTAGATAGACCAATAACAGTGCTAGCCTGTGTTGTGTAAGCTGATACGATTTGAAGCCGTCATAGGAATACTGAAATTGGTGGGAGTGGGAAAGCATGCACTATAATTATTTTGGGTGCCTCTGTCAAGGGAGAGGAGACAAACATGTAAAAAAGATACTGCTTCAAATATAAAAGAACACTGTATTTAGAGACTACATTCCTGTATGTGGTTTATATCTAGAAAGCTTCAGCTAACATCAACTTAAAAATAAAATTGCAACAACCCTCTCAAACCCATTCACATATTTCCTCATTAAAAACAATTAGTAGAACATCCAAGTTAATTCAGCGTACTCAAAAAATCAATCAAGTCAGGATGAAAAATACTGTACGAAGAATCGATTAATTTTCAGATCCTTGACATTGTTACTTGCCTGGGATCTACATGAAGTCAACACTGATTTACTTTGTTCCTCGTCTCTCTCCTATTCCAATATGTCAAGCTTGCACTGGTGCCTCTCAGGATATTTCTACCTCTCCTACCCACGTGTTAAATCAGTTTTGTTTGTTCAAAGTGGCTTCGAAGGTTTCCGTACACTTGTTTTCGAGGTTGCAGGTAAGGAAACCTGTTTGACACCCACTGTTTTTAACATATACACAGCAGGGAACTCTTACGAGAGGATGCTTGAGCTTGCTGAAAAAAATTGCACTTACCCTAAAATGCTCCAATAAACAGATACATTTAACCAGTTTCAAATAAAGCCATTCCTTACCTTTCTTATCTGTATGATTTTTCATTGAAGAATTTCATTGTGTGCGAGGAAGGAGATGGGGGGGTTGGGGGAGGGGGGGAGGGCAAAAGAATAAAGACAAGATCAATTCCAGGACAGATATAATGTTAAACATATTCAGCTTCAAACTATGAGCGAACTCATTACAACTCCAGAGTTTCCAGCAGTACACTCATTCAGTTTGAAGCTATTTGAACAGTTCTGGATATAGTTGTGTGAAATGCAATAGAGAAATGCAAGTGAAGGGTTACATTAACGCTTACATCTACTGGAGCAATACTCCAGTTTACTCTGTATCTGGAATACTGCTTAGAATCCACGACGCACTGAATTTCCTTCACAATTAGTTTCTACCTGTAGGTTTCCCTTGCATTTTCCACCTGCAGAAATATCGAATGCGATATGTGACAATAGGCATTCTTTGTTCTATGGAATGTCTTCTCCCATAATTGTCGAGTTTAAATAACAATCAATCACAGTTATCCAGCAAATCATTTTGTCTCATTATGAAATTGGGTGGAATAATTCACGTATTCCATACAAACTAAACAATGGAAATGTGTTGTCACTGTTGAGATGGCGAAATACATCAGTGTACCATGGTGTGAATGTGAATATCAGATGCCTAGTTTGTAAGAGCACAACAGTGACTAACTCCTAGGTAGGATAGGCCTTGAAGTATAAGGGATCACAAGTACATTTATAAGCGATTAAGTCAGTAATCAGACAACATTGAGACGTCAGTTTAAAACCTCATTAACCACAAATGGGTATTATTTGTTTTGTTTAATTTGTCATTCATTTATTTTTAGACATACTCATTAAGTATTGAACTTTTGGGAAAAAGCCAGGTATTTCGTGACTATATTAAAAAACAATGGCTCTATTGATTCCGCCCTCCACATCAGCAGAACGAGGATAGAAAGTGTGGGAGCAAGCACACACCATCTTCGGTCAACTCCAGGTCTATAAATAATAATCCTTGCATTTGATATAGCACCTTATCACGTCTGCGAGACGTCTCAAAGCGCTTCACAGATTATACTGTAAAGTGGATTGATTTTTTTGCACAGAAAACACAGTGAATCCACTTTACAATATATTCTGTGAAGCGCGTTGAAATGTGTCAATGACGTGATAAGGTGCTATATAAAATGCAAGGGTTATTATTATTATTATTATTATCTGGGATGAATTGAATTCTAGATCCCTCAGGCTTCCATATGACCTAAACAACCCAGTCAGCATAGAAAATATCGGCCAAAATACTTACTCCTTGCCTGTGAGGAGAATGCGACTGTGAGTTTTGCGAAGAGTTCTGTACTCTCAAATTTATCTTCCTTCACCTTGACCCAGAAACACTTCTCTGTCATTTTTTCAGGTTCAATCTAAAGCAAAAAAAAGCACAAAAATGGCAAATAAAGATTATAGATTCGAGTCATTTATAAAATTGTTAAGTGAATCAATCACTGAGCATTGCTGAACTAGATTTGCTGCTGAACAGTGTTAGTTAGAGCAATTAAGGGTCATTTTCAACCTCATGGCAGTCATTGATACAATTTCCAAGCAATCTATCTGCCAGCGAGGGATAGGAAACAGAGTGGGAAGAAACTGTAAAGACCCATCACTTTGCACTTGAGGATAAAAGTAGACAAAGGCTTTTCTTATTCCCGTCTCTCCCCCTTCCACCTCTATCATGCCCACCAGAGACAGTGTACAAATGCACAGGGGAAAACGATCATATATTTAGATTCATCGGCAACAAAGAACAAGGTGAGAATTGTTGCCAACAGTGTTACCATCCATCAATAGATAATCCAACTCAGAGATGGCCATTGAAAATTGGTCCACTGCCAAATACCAGCCTCAACCAGAAATACACTTGGGAGCAAAGTATAGCATTGGAAGTCAAGATGATCACACTACAGTAACGATTACAAGACATCAGAAGCTACTAATTGCATTTTTTTTCTGAAAATACGTGCTAATGAATACCAAAAGTATCTTTTTTTTCCTGAAGTCTGTTTACCTGCACACGAACCTCTAGCAGTAACGGCAGCAGAAAGAGACAGAAGGACTGGTAATATACTTGAGATACATTAATCAATGCAGCCACCGTAAAGATTCCTTACTAAGCTTTTCAATGTGCCTGTGTACTGTAAATAATTGATACTCATAAACTGGAATACATTACCCTCCGCACTTTATGAATCCATACCTAGCAATTGACTCCCGTTAATTGCAACATTTTTCATACTGTTTTCCAGGTTAACTATTTCTCAGTTTTTAATAAGTCAGTTAAGTCGTCTACCACCCGAAAATGGTAATAAGACCCTTTAAATTATAAGGAGCGTATTATTACCATTTCAAAAGAGTCTGAAATTTATTTCTTCCATTCTTCCATACTGAGGAATAATTCGTCGTGAAAAGACGAAGCCTGTTAGGCCAAATCTATGACCAGAGGTGCCAAAGACTTCCACCTGAAACACAGGGTAGCTTTCGAACACTCAAGGTGCTCCCATCCTCGCCTCCTGCAATGCACGTCTCAAGACCCTCCTCTTCGACCATGCCTTCGGTCACCCTCCTACCACTAGCCTCCCCGCCCTCCACCCCCTCCTGATCCCATCCCCCAGCTCGGGTCCAAATCCCTGACTGGCCAGTGCCTTGGCACGTCCTCCCATTGTGAAAGGCGCCGCCGTGTAAATGCCATTTATTATTGTTGTTGTGAGAGCAGGGGAAAAAAATGTCGACCTTAAGACGAGCTCTTCCACTTACTTTTGACCAGTTCGCCCTTTTGAGTTGAACTTCCGGCTTGTAAGTCTTTTTGGTTTGCAGTCCGAACGGCAAGGCAGGAGCTCCCCAGGCACAGGCCGGGGGAGGGGGAGCCCCTGGTGGGAACGGAGCCCCAGGAGGTGGGGGAGCACATGGAGGCATCCCAGGTAATGGGGGAGGTGGCGGGGGTCCTCCAAATTGCCCTGGTGGTGGAGGTGGTGGAGGAGGACATCCTGGCAGCGGAGGTGGTGGAGGTGGTCCTCCTAGTTGCCCTGGGAAGGGAGGCGCTGGTGGAGGACCTCCCAGTTGCCCTGGCAAGGGAGGAGCTGGTGGAGGACCTCCCAATTGCCCTGGCAACGGAGGAGCTGGTGGAGGACCTCCCAGTTGCCCTGGCAACGGAGGAGCTGGTGGAGGACCTCCCAGTTGCCCTGGCAACGGAGGAGCTGGTGGAGGACCTCCCAGTTGCCCTGGGAACGGAGGTGCTGGTGGAGGACCTCCCAGTTGCCACGGCAGCGGAGGAGCTGGAGGTGGTCCTCCCAATTGCGTTGGCAACAGAGGTGCTGGTGTGATGTTAAGAGGCTCTTTTGGGATGTTGGCTAACTTGGTCTTTGCTTCCTTCAAATCGTCAGATAATTGTTTGATCTATGGACAGAAGTGACATAATTAAAAGTAGGAACTCAATAAACTTGGTGCTGGTAATCGCTTGATACCAGAATGAAGCCGTGTTGCAACTTATAGTAAATTACATCCACACAAAGAACATTGAAAAATCAACAACAACAACAACTTACATTTATATAGTGCCCTTCTCTCCAATGCAGATCTCAAAAGTAATCATCAAAACGTGCAGCACTGAATGAGCCCTGTGAATATCCGTCAGGACAAGTAACTGTTCCTTTATTTTGCAGGCGAATGCGGCAGTCAATTTGTGCACTGCTGGGACTAACTCTGGAACTCTCCCCCTCACTCCCTCCACCTTCCCCACTTTCAAATCCCGCCTAAAGAACTTCCGATTTGATTGTACTAACAGATGGGCGCTATATCAATGCAAGTTGTTGTTGTTGTTGTTGACATCTTATGTCGCATCTTACGTGAATTTAAAATCCAAGAATTTAACATCTTAAATACTGTATCTCTATAAGATCTCCTTTGAGATGTCTCGTTCAAGCCTGAAGTAAGTCCCGAAAAGAAAAGTTTCTAAAACTGCAGGAGGTGGTGCTGCAGTCATCAGTCTCAGTCCAGCAAAACACTGCAGGCAAATCAGCCTCTCTAAGGACACCTTATATATTGGCTGCAGTGCCCCTTCTAACATACTGTGGTAATGAACTGAGACAGCCTTGAAACACTATGGACTATGCCAACGTAGCAAAAAAAAATACACATTGCTCAGCTAGTTCCTCCAGGACAATGCAAGGACCTGTTCCTGTAATGAAATTCCTTCACAGCCTGTAACTCAAGAGTAATACAATTTATTTATAAGGACAGTAATATATCGAGGATATAAAATAAGGAGAACAGTGGTGGGTAGAAGCTCAAACATATGCTCCACTCCTCTTCAGGGCAAGGTCAACACAGCAAGGAATTAAAGATAATAAAAATCTTTGGGAGTCATTACATTTACACTGAAACCAATCCACCTGGATAGCAGTTTGATAATTCACTCAACAGTTAATGAGATTTAAGGAACTATAGGATTGGATTGTCCAGAGCTGCTCTTTCATAATAAAAATAATCCTTGCATTTGATACAGCGCCTTATCACGTCATCGAGACGTCTCAAAGCGCTTCACAGAATATACCGTAAAGTGAATTGACTGTATAATTTGTGGGCGAAACGTGTCAGCCAATTGCGCACCGCAGCGTCCCACAAACAGTCGTGGATTGAAGTGACCACATTATTATTTTTTAAATTTTATTGAAGGGATTATTACCCCCGGATCAGCCATCCGCCAATCGACTAACAACTGGTTTCCTACTTAATCCTAGGTTAACAGAGGCGTGTGGAATAAGAAAACTTAAAGGAAAAGGTTTGGATCTGCCCGGTAATTGAACCTAGGTCCTTTCGCTTGCAAGGTGAGTGCTCTAACCACTACGCTACAGGACTTCATTTTTGATACTAAATCCTGCAAGATTTGTACAGTATTTGGTGAGAGAAATCCACTCTAGCAGTTAACCAGTTAACGAAGTAATTCAATCAGAAAGTAAGAATAGGTTTTCGTTTTCTGGTTTCTGAAAAATTTAGAGTTTGAAGCCAAACACAAACCCTAAATGAAGGTTCTTTCAGACTGTGACTGCAGCGGGAGAGAAACACATCCAAAATTGTCACCAGCAGGACTTTTACACAAGAAAAATAGGAGCAGTGTTTCTCTTCAGTGAACTGAACAGCTGCTAAAGTTAACATATGTCCCATAATAGTGTTGGTTCTGCCTCTTGCTTCTTTTGAGCACCGTAATGAATTGCTGCTGTAAAAGCCTCCAGTACTGAAGCAAACCACATAACGCACACTCGTCATAGTGACATGTTTGAAGACTCTAAAAAAAACAATGTTACTGGCCAGACCATTACTGCAACTCCTAACAGCAGTAATTTAATCCCTAAACCCCAGTCAGTCAGTCAGTCAAGACTTGCTGCACAAACAATGCAAAATGTTTGCATATTCATTAGAATAGGGGTGAGCGAGAGTCAGTGTGCATCAGCAGATCCCACTGCCTCCTTCACTGGTCGGGTCTGAGAAATAATAATGTGGTGACATGTTGAGAAGGAAAAGGCTAACACGAACTTCAGCATTTTTACTGAATAGAAGGAAGTTGCCTGGAGGAAAAGCCAGCCCCATAATTAGGGCAGCACAAAGTGTGTGTTTGGACAATACATACTCTCGCGTTTTAGGCCAAACTTTTAAGTTTGGAACAATAAATTATTCAGGACAAACCGTCAAATGTCTCGGCTGCAAAAGATGCAATTTTAAGGGGAAGGGGATGAAAGCTCAAGTCCGCATTAAGTTTTATTGATAAGTCTAAGTTCATAGTCATGGTATTCCTGAAAACCAGGACTGGATAATAATAATCTTTGCACTTGATATAGCGCCTTATAATGTCATTGAGATGTCTCAAAGCGGTTCACAGAATATACTGTAAAGTGGATTGACTGCGTATTTTGTGGACGAAACACGGCAGCCAATTGTGCACAGCAGCGTCCCACAAAGAAGTGGATTGAGTTTTTTTTAATTAAATAATTAAGTCATTTGTATTGATGAAATCCAACCCTTTCAAAAAAGCTGCACAGTGCAGTAAGTAAAATTATGGGTAAATTGCCAAACACAGCTTTTACCATTGGCGGGTTATTGGAATGGCAGGAATGTTTGTCTGTCTGTCTGTCTGTCTGCCATAAACATCACATCATTAAATAAAATGGCCAAATAGATCTCATGTTTCTAAGATGCACAGTTGGGACGATATATTCGTCCATATAGTCCACTTGTTCTGACACTCCCCCAGTGGGAATAGAGTTAGGTGGCCAGTTTAAGGCAGACAAGCTGAGGCTGTTAACTATTGACTGGACGCAAAAAATATTTCGAAGGTTAAGTTTGTTGAACAAGTTGCCTCAACTATAACATGGGAAAATAAATGGATCTCAAAAGTCACTGCACATGTCTCGTCATGAAAGAATCTGTTATCATCTCTGGCGGGTGGGTTGGTAACTAGAGAAGACAGATTTAAGATAATTGGCAATCCACTGCCAGGTTCGATAATAGCTTTCAAACGGGAATAAGAACATAAGAAATAGGAGCAGGAGTAGGCCATTCGGCCCCTCGAGACTGCCCCGGCATTCAATAAGATCATAGCTGATCTATTCTAACTCCACCCACCCGCCTTAGCCCCATATCCCTTAATCCCTTTATCCACAAGAAATCTATCAATCTCAGTTCTGAATTGGATATGTATTTGAAAAGGAAAAAAATGCAGGGCTGTGGGTTAAGAGCGGGGGATTGGGACTAGTTGGAAGCGCTCTCAAAGAGCTGTCACAGGCACGATGGGCCGAATGGCCTCTTTGTGTGCTGTTAGATTCTGCGATTCTATATATATATTCCTGTGGTTGCAAATATTTTACATTCAAGTCTCTGTAATGAAAACCATCTAGTCTGGGAGCTTGCTCTGAAATGACCCTCGTTACCTCTTCCTTCAGATGATTAATTTCACTGTTCAGTAAGCTGTTTTCTACGTCTGCGTCAGACTTTGCCTTCTCTAATGTCTGCTGCTTTGTGTGAAGCTCTGTGAGTTTCCCTTCATAATCACATTCTTTCTTCCTGATTTCCGCCTGCAGTTCATGGCGGGCTGTCAGCTCGCTATCCAGCTGTGAAATACAGAAGCCAATTAATATTAATCCACACATATACACAATACTCACGATGACTACATCTGTGTGGCACCTGGTACAAACCTGAGAAGTAGGAACAAAAAGCGAGGGGTGGGGTGGGGGGCGGGGTAGGAGAGATGGGAAAATGCTGGACATTTTGGTAATATCTGTAACTTGATGGACTTGTGACTATTTTAAGAGATATTGTTAATGGACACATTTTCAATGACGGTTCAGAAAACATAAAATTTCAGAAGCCCTGGCCTGGCCACCCTCCCTCCCCGCCCTCCACTCGATCCCAAACCCCAGCTCGGGTTCAAGTCCTTGACTGTCCAGCGCCTTGGGACGTCCTCCCGACGTGAAAGTCGCCGTGTCAATGTCATTTGTCATTACTGTAATTATCAGACGGCTTAACGCCTTGCAAAGGCTGTCAGGTGCATAGTCGGTGCTACACAATCGTGGGGGAAAGAAACACAACATAGGGTCATCTTGTATGGAAAAACCAGAGCCAGAGCCAGTCATGAAGACTGGTTTGCAACACTGGTGGACCCGTATAGCCCAGACTGACAAACAATGGTAAGAACTTTGTATAAGCGCTTCACGGTGATGGGTGGCGAGGGGTAAGGGGCTTTATCCTGGTCTCTCAAGACAGCAAAATAAACAAGGCTTATAAAAACAAATTTAAGAGCAGAAATTAACCTGCGGAAAATACTGCTTGGAAATTACATTGCAATGAAAGTTCCGGGGTCAGTCAGAAGCATTTGGATGATGACAGTTAAATTATTTTTTTTAAACCGATAGTGCAAGACACCATTTACTTTTCACTGATAAGGCCAACCCTGGCTGTCAAGCCATTAACTGAGAACATCCGTACATAAAAGTGCCAGCGAGGGGCGATTTAAAGGCTCGCTCAGGCACATTATTAAAGGTCTGACCATCTGACATGTCTGTGGCGTTCTGAGAGTGGACCCGTCCATCACACACACACTGCCAAGGCCAAATTGACTTCCAAACCTAAATTAACTTTCTGCTGAATTACCTTTTTTTCCAGATCTACAGCTTTGGCCTCACTGTTCTGCACTTTGGTTTTGTCAATCAAGTTGTCTGCAGAAAAAAAATGTTCAATGACAGGGTTGTTCGATCTCTCAAATCTGCCAGACTGAGAGTGCCTTCCGTTCCACCATCGGCCACACGACGCCCCGAAAATCTGGGATGCTCTTCCTCTATCCCTCCGCCTTGCCCCCACCTTCAGATCACGCCTGAATGACCTCACTCTTCGACCGTGCCTCCGGTCACCCCAACCCCCACCCCCCCTCCCCGGCTCAGTGTCGTGCCCTGCCATGTCAAGCACTCTGGGACACTGCCCTGTGTGAGGAGCAGTTGTGGTTGCTCTTGTTGTTGGCCCATTAGCTGCACCGCAACATCAGACCAGGAGACGCGTTAGAAATTCCTTAATAGCTTGAAACTGCACTTACCGATTAAATGGTCTACATTCAACTGAAATCTCTTGCATTTGAAGTCCGGATCACTTCCATTTTTGTGCAGAACGATCTGGGACACGCACTCATCTAAAAGCTTGTAATAGTGTGGCCTACAAAACAGGTAAACGTCTGTGTAAGGACATTGTCAACCCTTTGGTGTTGTTATAACGCTGCTCGATCTGCAGTACTACCGGACAATCTATTGCTTTTTAATATCATCGGTGGCCGCTCATTCAGCCACTAAGCCCCAAACTCTGGAACTCTCTGCTTCAATCCCTCTGCCTTGCTCCTTTCCTTCCCCATCTCCAGGTCATGCCTGAAGACCTCCCTCTTCGACCGTACCTACAGTCACCTCCCCCCTTCCCCTGGCTCCGCCACTGTCAAGCGCTCTGGGACATTGCCCTGCACGAGGGGCGCTGTGTAAATGCAAGTTATTGTTGCTATTCCATTTTTCACGAGTTTGAATGTGAATGAATCACAAAGCAATGCTCAAAAGCACAAATGGGGAGTTTTCGGTTTGTAGCTTCTAAATAGTGTCCGGAAGGTTTTACATAAAAAAAAGTTGGTAAAGTACTCCCAATTCCAAATCTGTATCTAATACAGATTGTTGGCTTCACAGATGGAAAACATAACTTTCCAAGGAACGGCACACACACTACACCCACAGACACACACACGACACACGCATAAACAGACACACACACTACACCCACAGACACACACACGACACACGCATACACAGACACACACACTACATCCACAGACACACACAGACACACACACTACACCCACACTACACACACAGACACACACAACCCACAGACACACACAACCCACAGACACACACACTACATACACAGACACACACACACACACTATAAACACCCACAACACACCCACACACACACACAGACAGACACACAGACAGATACGCGCACGCACACACACACAAAATGTACAACTGGTCTCAGAGCCCCTGGGGTTACGAAGGGCAAAACAAATACACATCCAGAGTTCCTGCTGCTGAGATATATCCAGTAGTTCCAGCTCCCGGAGAACAGGCGTCTCCTGTGGAGTTCTAGGTTTGTGTGAGTTGAGGTCTTGGAAATGCAATGGTAGAAGGGAAAGAGGAAATTGAAGAGGAAAAACAAACATGGGTTCCCAAAACTCTGGAAGACTCTCTCACAAACCCTCTGCCTTGCCCCCTCTTGCCCCATCTTCAGGTAATGCCTGAAGACCTTCCAGTTTGACGGTGCCCACCATCACCACCGCCCACCCCCCCCCCCACCGGCTCTGCCTCTGTCAAGCGCTATATAAATGCAAGTTGTTGTTGCTTTTAAATCTGTCCCCTGTATTCCATGTCCCCCGTGTTAAAGAGAACAGAATTGTTTTGGTGTAGTTATCAAGGGGTTAAGCATTGCTGCAACACTGCCCTTTAGGTCATCTCGAGAAGGGTATTGATTCTCCTTAAAAGTTACATTCAACGAAGGTGCATTGAAACGACCGGGACGCAACAGGATTTATCCTTAAAAATCCTCAACGATATTTGCGATTTTATGAGAAAGTTGGAAAAAAAGGTTGTAATGGGGAACCATTAACGTGGAAACAAAGCAGGGAGGGGCACTGCAGTGCACGCTGATGTGTAGTGGATTACTGGCTGGCAGACACACAGCCCAGCACAGCTCACAGGGAAAAAAACACAGAACCCTCCATCTCCTAATTTCATTTCAGGCAGAAGACGGAATTATATATTTTTTAAAAAAATTATACAAATTATTTTCTGCACCTGGAGGCACGGACGGTTTGGGCTTTTATCACTGTTTATAACAAATAAAATAACAATGATAATTTGGTCACTCAATCCACGACTGTGCTTGTGGGACACTGCCGTGCGCATTTGGCTGCCGCGTTGCGCCCACACAAAAAAAAATCAGAGTAAAGCCGGTCTCGTAATCCCACACAAAACTCTGTTAAATTAAGCTGCTGTAAATCCTGACAAAGAAATGAGGGTGGTTGCTTGTACAGTACGACAGACAGACGGCATGTTACAAAATGGAGTAGCTTTAGTTTAAGGCAAACAATTTAGTTGGAAGTCTCTCTCCTCCGTGCCCCTTCCCCCAACCCCTCCCCACACACACACACACACACAACACACAGGATACTGAGTCACAAACACACACGCAAACAGAAGTTAAATCCGCAATCCATGGCATTCTCAGAACAGTTGCCAGTACAAATTTTGCTTGAAAGAAAATACGCTGAAAAGCATTTATGAAATCATTTTTTTCCCCAGCTTGTGAAGAACCATGGTGGTTTGGCAATAAAGCGGTTCACATTGTTCAGACCATCTGTTTGTCATTAGGGGATACTTCACTTGGTCTTAATTCCGACCCCCCCCCCTCCCCCCCCCCCCCCCACCAAAAAAGAGTTTTATTATTATTAAAAAAAACGGCGCAGCAGAATTTCGCTAACCTTTTGAAAACGCAACACAGAAACTGGCAGATTTTAACCTTTAGACAAGTCTAAAAGTATAAAAAGTTATATATACGGTGATTCCTGATGAAAGTTAAAGCCCATTCGTGAAATAACGCAACACAACAGTGACACCTGCGGACTTACTGCTGTCAGTACAACGGAGGAGTGACATCTGACTGCTGTCCATCACAAATAAGGCCATCCCTACACCCCACATACATTATATCTTAAAGCTGGACTGTCTTTTACAAAATAAATCAGAAAATACTTTGCAGATGATCAAAAGTGAACTGAACAAACCTGGCAAATTTATTCTTAATTTAGTTTATCCCCCAGAGGGTAGCGTTCAAAATCCTCAACCTGGCCTTCAAACCGCTCCACTGCCTACTTCCTACCTCTGTAGGCATCGACCTGTCCTCTCTCTCTCTCCGCTCAGCTGGCTCCGCAGCCATCGGTGGTCGGGCCTTCGGCTTCTCTGCCCCCACCCTTTGGAACTCTATCTCAGTCCGCTCGCCTCGCTCACTCCTCCGCCTCCTTCAATGCACGTTTCAAGACCCTCCTCTTGGACCGCGCCTTCAGTCATCCTAACTACCCTTAGCCTCGCTGTCCTCCACCCCTCCTGATCCCAACCCCCAGCTCGGGTCCGAATCCCTCATTGTCCAACGCCTTGGGTCATCCTCCTGACGTGAAATGCTCCGTGTAAATGTCATTTGTTGTCACTTGGAACAGTTATCACAGTCTCCTGATGCGTCGCTGAGAACCTCCATCATTTGCAACAATACGGAGCCCAAACTCGCTATTTTTATTGAACATTTGGGAAAATGGAGGAACGGTGACAGGTTACTTTGTGTTAGAAATGCTGGGGGCACCTTATCCAAAAGCACACACTTTGCTGCAGTCAACACTTTTACCATAATCATATCAATAATCCTTGGATTATTTGACGCAGCGCCTTATCACGTCAAAGAGATGTCTCAAAGCGCTTCACGGAATAGATTGTAAAGTGGATTGTTTTGGGGGATGGGAAGGAGACCGATTAGCAACCAACTTTTTTTTAGACAAATACACACACACACACATATATATATGTATATAAAGATGCTTAAAAAAACATTGGGATTGCAGAGGGGAATCCATTCTTATTTGTCCTTCCCGGCAATGTCAGTGGCTTTAAAGGTAGAGCAACGGCGCCACTTACTGTTGAGCATCATTTACAGCAGTTTGTCTGGGTTTCCAGAATTAAGATTTTGAGCTGCAATATTCTTCCGGTTGAGACAGTCAAAGTTAGTGGAATGAATCTCAGCGCTAACCCCCGGTCACAGAATCCACTTCCTCCCTCCGACTTGTCAAAAATGACTCAACACCACCACCGACAACTTGCATTCATATATATAGCACCTCTCACATCGGGCGGACGATATATTTCATGGATGAAATGGGTTCTCAGTTTACCTGCCGCTCAATATGAAGCCACAGAATATTAACCGACTGTTGGTCAATCTGAAGAGCCAGTGACAGCTTATATTGTGGATTCCCACCACCAAATCCAGTATCAACTCATTATTATATTTCTCCCGGAGCTCTTTTGAAAAAGAACATCGCTGACACCTACTGTTTGGGATCACTCACCGCATCCAGATCCCACACAACACCAACAGCCTCAACCATCTTTAAGATTTAATGTGCATTGATTTTTACATTACTCTCAGTAAACAAGGCAGGGAGGTGACAAGGACCTGCAAAATCTGGCTATGCTACACCACAAAGCGCTATTACATGGGCTTAATAGGACCGTTAAGAATTATTGGGGGAAATTAAAAGGACTAAAGAAAATGAAGGCATGAAGCAGGCTGGAGAAGGGAGAATAATAAATCCAATAGGTTCATGTAAGGGAGAACAATTAATAGCCTGGAATGCTGGCAGCCCCCGCCTTCCCCTCTTTTAGATCACCACTGAAGACCTTCCTTTTCGACTGCTCTTACGGTCACCTCCTCGCTCTCCCCGCTTCGACGTCAGGCTCCTGAATGAAGGGCGCTATATCAATGTTGTTGTTGCTCAGTACAACATTTCGCTGAAGGCATCAAGACAGCACCGCAACTTGCTCAAGGGAAGCTGAAGTGGTTTAGAATAGTACGGCCCAGAAACAGGCCATTTGGCTCAACCAGTCCCTGCCAGCAATAAGCCAGCGTTAAACAGTACCTGACACGCACTGGACAGGATTCTGGGAAAGAGTCACTCACCTGGCCTGGTAATCGTTGCGTATCAAAAGCATGTGCTGGAGTATAGAAAGGAAGTACAGTTCTGCCTTGGAGTCCTTGACAGTGTTCAGTAACATCTGGAAGACTTCAGTAACATCTGTGCAACTGTTGTTAAGGACACACACCCACTGCACCATTCAGAGAACCCGCCTTCCTAAGTGCCCAGCGCTTCCTTTTTGGGCACAGTGCAGGACTCAAGATCTCAGATATAAGGTGCAGTATAATAGATCAAAGTTAATGTCAAAAACAAACTCCCTTCCTGGTGATAATATAATAATAAACCTTGCAATTTATACAGCGCCTTATCACGTCTTTGAAACATCTCAAAGTGCTTCAGACTACACCGTAAAGTGAATTGACTGTGTATTTTGTGGACGAAACGCGGAAGCCAATTGCGCAGAGCAGCGTCCCACCAACAGTTGACCAAATTGTTTTTTTTAACGGAAGGGATTATTACCTCCGGAAAGCGATCCGCCAATCGACTAACAACCGGGTTCCTACTTACTACTGGGTAAACAGAGGCGTGTCTGTAGAGTAAGGAAACTTGCCTTAAGTTTCACCCTGCCTGGGAATCGCACCCGGGTCCTCTCGCTTGCGGGGCAAGTACTCTTAACAAATACACTTCAGGATTCCCATCAAACATTCCTTTATTTGGAAGATTCGATGCGCTGATCAGGTTACTTTATCCAGTCCCGGTTTATAGTATTTCCAAAAAAAACTTCTGTGTCAGAACAAGTCGGTTTACTCTGTTATCATACCGCTGTTTCAGATCAGCGGCTAATTGCAGATATTTGGGAGCTCTGTTTAATGGAGTCAGGAAACCCCCCCAGGAGCGGAATCCAAAGTGAATTAAGGAGCAGTAACAGCCACACAGGCGATTTTAGTGCGAATGAGTAATTTGCTGCCATCGAACAAGTGCTGCATTTTAGGAAATTCATGCATGAAGCAGCCACACTGATTAGGTAATCACAGTAAGTTGTTTGAAGGATGTAATGACTTAGCGCAGTCATTATATCACTAATACTAGTCTTCAATGGGAGCTCAAGACAAATGTGCTTGTGAATGTTGCGGTGCTAAAAGAATTTAAAACATATTATGTACCATGGCCATAATTACAGGCTCTGAATATCTCCTATCATCTCAACACACTCCTCACGTCTGCTTGGGAAACCGCTACCTTCCTCTTTGATTGCTTCAAACTCGACAGCAATTTAAGATATAATTCAGTACAATTATAATTCTGGGGCCTAATTCCTTACCTCAGCCGAGGAAATGCTTTCTTTTGAGATTAAATCAAGAAAAAAAAATCTGTACGATAAACACATTTTAGATATCCTAATAATGACGTCTTTCACCCATTGCCCAGAAAATCCCCTCGAGTCACCGTTGATACGAAGCTTTCCTCTTGTGCCCGGGAAATCGAGTTGCATTCATCTCTCTTTTAATTTCTTTACGTTTTGAACGTTTCACGGACAGGGTGAAACCCCAGACAATTTCTTCATTTGCGAGTTGAACAACAGAACAATCGCAATCTAATTGAAACGTTCCGGAGGACCACTTGTGCGGATGCAAAGCTCAGCTCCACATCACACTTGCCATCTCTATAAGCACCATCTGACAATGCTTCAACACTGAAGCAATTTGTGTTTAGTTTAGCTCCACACTTTACCTTTACTTACACCCCTCCCACTCGTGCCCCCGTGGTACCAGTCTACAATGAGAGCAAAGGTTTTCATGAGCAAACGGGGAAAAAGCTCCAACACCCTCCAATGCCTGTGCCAGGTTTCGAGACTCTCGGATCTGAATCTAACTCAGCGGATCTCCCGAACAAATCGTTGCGCAGTTTTTTATAAAAGAAAAGGATATTCCATTTCTATCCTGATATCATCCAGGCGAGTTTTCAAATCATCCGAGTCCTCCTCCCCATGTTCGTCAAAGACATTCAACTGAACTTTAAGCTCTTCGGTCTCGATACGTCTCAGCTCCTGTGAAGCAGTGAATGAAACTCTTTGAAGTACACGCGGATCATTAACAGTTACAGAGTTCTATTGCTGCGTCACAGGTTGGTTAGAAGTGTCTGAACGTGGAAAACGATGGTTCATCTCAAGCCTCCCTAATGTGTGCAAAATATTTCTGTCACTGTCCCAAGCACACGCTTTGCAAGAAAGTTATCAGAAGGTGTGAGAGTTCAAGACTTAACCGTTTTCAGGGCTGCAGATGTATGTTCTTAATTAACAATGCACAAACAAGCCACACGGTGTCAGCCTGCTTCTGAACACCGGGAAAGATGCCAGTTGTGTGGAAAATCAGCCCGGGACTCAAGGAGAAACCACTCAGTCAAAACCGTCTCAAACCCCCTTAAACGACGGGGTTAACTTCGATTAGTTAACTTCTGATCGGGAGGGCATTCTTAACATCAAAATAAATGTGATAAATGTTAGCGTACACTGGAGCTGTGAACTGCACAGGTGCCACTTGAGAATAAGACTATTTATTAGATCAGGGTATTAAAGAATAGAGGGCAAGGGCGGGTAAATTGGACTTAAGGTCCAGATCAGCCATGATCTTATAGAATGGCGGAACAGGCTCGAGGGGCTGAATGGCCTCCTCCTGTTTCTAGAAGTCCTTACCGGTAATAACTGACTAAGTCCTGATCGTAGCAGTTCACTCCGCAAGTGAATTCGGAAGTCGAGTTCGTCAGCGGGGATGATGAGAGCGTTAATGAACTGCATACACGCCACCTAAAGGGAGGGTGGGGAAAAAAAATATTGAAGCACGTTCAAAAATCCCAACACAGTTTATTACAAAAAAAAACTAATTTTAATCCAAAAGAAAAGTGGACACGAAGAAGAAATTGTTAAATCGATAAGTTTTATCTATATTTATTAGAAGAATCCAGAACAGAAAGCTGGGTGTGGTTTTGTAACACAAGGATGTGAACAAGACGACATAAAACTGTAAAGAAACACCAAATAAGATGTTCTTGTGATGTACATTTTTGATGATCTCAGCAGCGTTAACTTTACTGCTGAGAAAGCATTTGATGATGACAACCATTTAGCTTATTGGTACGAAACACTGATGGGCTTCTTGTCAAGCTACCCTACCCATTAGGGCTGGGGCTGACAGTATTGACAGCACATCTACTTCCTCCGAGTATTACTGCTGAGCCAGACAGACTCATCAACCGTGGAATATTGCGTGTCTGATCACGGAGCCTCTTTGGCTCCAACGAGACACTTTCCCCGCTATGTCATGAGCCGCACACAGGCTCCGCTGAGAACGAGGGCTTTCTTGTTGCATTTCAGAATTCATTCAACAGCAACTAATGACATTTTACACACACAGCGCCTCGCACGTTGGGAGGATGTCCCGAGGCAGTGGACAGTTGGGGAGCTGGGGTTGGGATCAGGAGGAATGGAGGGCAGGGAGGGTGGGCGGATGAGGGAAGGCACGGTCAAAGAAGAGGAGGGTCTCGTGACGGGCCTTGAAGTAGGCAAGGGAAGGGGTGAGGCGAAGGGACTGTGCGATGGAGTTCCAAAGGATGGGAGTGGGGGGGGGGGCAGAGAGGCTGTTAGTAAATAGTGTAACTAATTTGGGCTGTTTTATTCACTTATATCTTTTCAGGTGAGTTACCTTCAGCTGAATACTGGATTTATTTATCAACCCATCCAGCACCGGTTTGAACCGTTCACTGTCCTCCTGCTCCGCTCTCTCTGTTAACGCTCCCAATACTTTTTCATGTCTGGAGAAATAAGAAGAACAAAAAAAACAAACTTTTTATTTTACATTTAGCTTTAGTTCTACATTTTCGAAATGATTGAAACATAATTGACTGATTTGCAATCTTTTGGTTCTTTCCTCATCTCTGTGACGTCTGCCTTATCCGAGGTTCAATGCAATACCTAAGTACAGTACGTTGGTATGGACGAGCGAATGTTGTGAAGTCTTAATATAAGAGCACAGAGTCACTTGCTCTTATCGTCTGTACAATATCTTGAACCAAAATGATAAGCTTACATGCTCTCTGTGTGCGGCAGGATGCAAATAGCAGAGAGGATCTTCACAGCATCTGTCATCATGCTCGGAACTTTAGGATCGACAGCCTTGACCAACAGAAGAATACCTTCCTCCGAATTCAGCATCGTTTTTATTCCATACTGTAGGGAGCGAGAGCCAACACTGTATTATTATCTACGACAGTCTTTCAGAAATGAACACAAAAGCCTGTAAACACAGGTGAGCCAATGATATGCTAAATGATTTGTTACGATCTGGAACACACTGCTTGTTGTACTCACCTTGTTGTTCATAAATGCTTTTAGGCACCTGATAATTTCATGCTGAATCCTGTGATTCAAGGAGCTAAAAGAGAATGCGACACATTAGTACAGCGCGAAACTAAAGTGGTAATGTGGCCAATAGCTCTCATGCGAGTAATAATAATAATACTTTCATACAGCGACTTATCAAGTCTTTGAAACGTCTCAAAGCGCTTCACAGAATATCCCGTAAAGTGAACTGACTGTATATTTTGTGGGCAGAAGTAACAGATGGAATCAGAAATTTCAGAGGAAAAAGGTTAGAGATTTGGATCGCACAAGTTTCCATGTTTATTTTGGGGGCTCCCGTTCTGCTTTTAAAAATCTGAATGATTTAAAATTAAGACAAAGGAGCGGAATTGCCAATCATGTGACAAGTAAAACATGGAGCACAGTTTCTCGTCAGGACCTATCGATCGCAGTGAGGTGGTAAAAGAACAGCCAAACACGGCCTACAAGTAATGTGATCTACAATGCCTTCACTGACGGGAAAAGTGGGTCCAAGTCATCACTAAATGTGCTGCTTCATCAACGAGACTCCAGCAGTTACCCCCAACGAACACTTTGGGCTCCCCCCCTCCAAGCCTTGCTTCTCGCAAACCTGCGGCTAATACTTTTTGGAATTAGGTAAGCAGGATGCATTTCTCCAGGGGAAGAGAGAGAGAGAGAGAGCGCAATCCACCTTTCCATGTGTAGGTGGGTTGCATGGAACTCTCAGCTTGGTTTGGCGACAACAGTGATGGGTTTCCGCGTGTGTCAGACGCCCGGTTGACCCAAACAAAAACATAGAACTAGTGGGAAGCAACCGAGAGAGTGACGGAAGCAGAAATGGTGAGAACTAAATAACATACAGCCCCTTGCAATAATTGTAAATGGGATGCTTGCTTACCCTGGTTCCTGCTGTTCATCTTGAAGCCCTTTCAATAGATCTAAGAGCGTTGCCAATCCCTCCGCACCAAAGTTCTGCACCCAGCTGTGTTGTCACAAAAGAACATAATTACTTAAGATGATTCTAATCAGTTCCCGATTTCTTAGCAGTCTCCCTCAACTTGTGTTTAAACAACGGCACAGACTTGCTGGGCCGAATGGCCTGTTTCCCAGCTGCATGTTCTATGCTGAAACCTTGGGTATTACAACGCACTAACTATGAGTAGCAAATCCCACATCGTTACCTGACTGGATTATTATTGAGAGAGACTCGCAAGGATTCCAAACAATTCAGCAACGGTCCCTCTCGCACTCCCGACTTCAGTTCCTGGATGTACATCACAGCTGAGCGGGAACTTTCTTTCTGGCTTTGTCCCTGAGTAAAGCAAACACAAGTCAAAGACACTTCTACTTAACGTGAACGAGTAATACAGAAATACTTGCATTAAATATAGCTCCTGATCACGTCGTTGAGACGTCTCAAAGTGCTTCACAGAATATAATGTAAAGTGGAGTGACTGTGTGTTTCGTGGGAGATACGCGGCCGCCAATTGCACACAGCAGCGTCCCACAAAGTCGCGGATTGAGTGACCAAATTATTATGAATACAGTGTGTATTAGGGTACTATTACTCATTAGAGGGGCAAGGGAATTCTTTACAATTGTGTGTGTATGAGGGAAGAGATGGGGAGGGGGCTGAATGGGAAGGCATTGGGTGTTGAGGACTTGTCTTCTCTTATTAACTCACCGCTTTGGAGGTATGTAGATACTGTGAAACCATTTCTCTTTTTATCATGATGTCTTTGTTTCTCAACGGTCGTTGTCTCTCTTCATTCAGATTCATGTCGACCTGACGAATGAAACATCCAGCGAAAGCATCGTTGAAAGAGAATTAATAAGATTAATGGGTTCAGAACAATAGATTGTTTGAAACAATAATAATGATAATAATCGCTGCATTTGATACAGCGCCTTATCACGTCGTTGAGACCTCTCAAAGCACTTCACAGGATACACTGTCAAGTGAATCGACTGTGTATTTTGAGGGCAAAAACCCAGCAGCCAATTGCGCACATCAGCGTCCCACAAACAGTCATGGATTGAGTGACCAATTCTTTTGGGGAGGTATAATTACCCACGGAAAAGTGATCCACCAATCGACTAACGATAACCAGGTTCCTACTTACTGCTTGGTAAACAGAGTGTGTGTGTGTGTGTGTGTGTGTGGAGTAAGGGAAACTTGCCTAAGGTTTCGCCCTGCCTGGGAATCGAACCCGGGTCCTTTCGCTTGCGAGACGAATGCTCTAACCACTGAACTACAGGAATAGCACCTACCAGCATCTGCTCAAACAGCTCCAGCACATCTTTATCAGACAATGAATCCAACGTGGACGACTGTGTTTCATAAATCGGTGGAGCAGAGTGTTTCGACTGTAAGGACGGCTTCTCCTTTTTCCTCATGCTGGTGAAGCGTTCCAACTGCAACGCAAACCAAACAATTAACATCAAAATGTTTCCTCGTGTGGATTACGCACACACTCACACACACATACATACATACACGTGGTCATTTTCAAATGAACTGCTTTGTGGTGTAAACTTGGAAATTAAGAAAGCTTTCACTTGTATGTAATGTATAGCTCTGTCCTGCCAGGTGTTCTCACACTACAAGTCGTGTCGGTTTTTTCCCTCCCTCTCATTATCTTTTGAGGCTTATTCATAAGGGGGCAAAGAAAATGATAGCATATTGCAAATGCTAAAAATATACAATAATAATAATCCTTACATTTGATATAGCGTCTTATCACATTGTTGAGACGTCTCAAAGCGCTTCACAGGTTATACCGTAAAGTGAATTGACTGTGTCCTTTGTGGGTCAAACGCGGCAGCCAATTGCGCACAGCAGCGTCCCCACAAACAGTCATGGATTGAGTGACCAAATTATTATTGATTTTTTTTAAAGGGATTATCATCCCCGGAAAAGCGATCCGCCAATCAACTAACAACTGGGTTCCTACTTACTGCTGGGTAAACAGATTTATTTGTGTGTGGGGTAAGGAAACTTGCCCAACGTTTCGCCCTGCCTGGGAATTAAACTTGCGAGGCAAGAGCTCTAACCACTGAGCTGCAGGACACTTTGCCCTGGAAGAAAACGCAGTCCATGACATCAAAGAGATTATCAGTCAACTACATGAACATGATATACTATGCTGAAGTTTACGGTTTGCATGCCCAGTGTAGCAGAACATAATAAATTTCTATGCAGTGTTGAAAGGAACCAAATGTACTATTCAAAGGTCGTGCTTGCCAACTTAATTAAGGTAAAGTCAGCGTCGGCTGACACAAAGCCTCACTACCTTTCTTTGAAGCAGAAAATCATATTTTGCTCAACGCTCTGCATCATCATCGCTTCCCCTAACTTCCTCTCTCAACCTGTTCGATGTCCTCACACAGTTCATGAAAAGTGCTTCCCGAACGCCGTGACTGGTAATAATGGTGATTTGGGACCTTCGAATCAAGCTACAATTTGCAACAGCTTTCTGCACCAACTGCTTGGCAATTCTGAGAAATTGGCATCAGAAGCAGAATTCGGGGCCTGTCCAAAGTTCATAGTCCAATGATTTAACCACAAAAGAAAATCACAAGACAAGATGATTCGATCCATAATTTCCATTCCTTCTACAGCACATCAGTCATTACACTTGCATTTGATATCGCACGCTTTCACACTGAAAGGTCTCAAAGCTTCACATGAAATTTAAACTGCAGCGATTGTTAAGGAAAAAAGGTAATGAGGATTGCTCTCCATTGCTCTCCAGTGCGACGCTTAAGCGAGGAAAGATCTGGTTCGCTGTTAAGGCTCTCAAATAAATAAAAGCTACTCCGCGTGAGGTACGAGAGGACATGTAATGGAAAAGGAGAGAAACCACAATCAGGGAGGGGAAGGAAAGGAGAAAATTGGCGAGTAAATAATCATGACGGTATTTTAATAATAATAATGCTTGCTTTTAATGTAGCCCCTTATCACGTCTTCGAGACGTCTCAAAGCGCTTCACAGAATATACTGTAGAGCAAATTGACTGTATATTTTGTGGGTGAAACGCGGCAGACAATATGTTCACAGCAGTATCCCACAAACAGGATTGAGTGGTCAATCGACTAGCAACTGCGTTCCTACTCACTGCTGGATAAACAGAACCATGCAGAATAAGGAAATTTGCCCAAAATTTCGCCCTGCCTGGAACCGAACCCAGGTCCTCTCGCTTGTGAGGCGAATGCTCTAACCACTGAGCTGCAGGAATCAATTATATAACCAAAGCAAATTAAGCCACGTCGTCAAGTCTGCCTGAAATCAGCAACATTGAGTTTCAAAAGCATGAATTTGCAGTAAAAGACAGTGTGGGGGAATCCAATACTCTTACCTCATCAGGAATCAGCTTCTTTAAAGTCTGTGTGTCAGAAGGAGAGAGAGAGAGAGAGAGAGAAAAAAAGATAAGTTTGAGTCCACCACCAAAAATAAAAAAAAAACTCAGAAATCACCCAAGGAGCAGTTCTGAATCAGTGGAGACACAATGTACAATTTTTACTTACTTTCCAACACATGTAAAAGTTAAGAGTACGTATTTGGCAAGTAACGCAGCCAGAATATCAATTGCCCAAATGTGAGTGAGTGGGTGTTTCAGCGACGCTGCTTGTAGTACCGATTATCTTCCGTTAGAGGGAACTAGTGCACTGTGAAAACACCATCTCGTGAACATCCAACGTGGAAACCCCTCACCGTTGCCTAAGAGTCTCCAAACCAAGCTGAGGACTCCACGCCGCCCACACCTACACGTGGAAATCCCAGAGGTAGATTGCTGGAACGGAATGCGCTCTCTCTCTCTCCCTCCCCCTGGCGGGACGCCCTGTTTCTTTGGGGGGCAGCCCAGGGTGTGCGTTGGGGGTGACTGCTGGATTCTAAACTCAATCCAGTAGTACCCTCAAGATCACTGTGTCAACACTGATAAGATCGCACAGAACTGTGGAAAACCCTTCAATTCGAGCGTAATTCGGAAGCCCGTCTTTTTAAGAACTGCAGAAAACTGGATTCCAAATTAAGAACGAATTCAAGAATTGTTCACAATTCAGCGCAATTTTTAATCCGTTACGGAAATAATATGTCAGGATACAGCGTGTAGTTTGGGACACAACATGTCAAGCGACTGCCAGGGACGGTGGAAGGCAAACTGGTTGGAACTCAGTCTCCTATCGTCAGCAAGTTCTTATGTACTATAATTCAAGCAACGTGAATTGTTACAAGTCTCTTATCCAAAACTTGTGATCTTAACATGAAAGAGCATTAAAGCACCTGGGTTGTGATCAACAACTAACGGCCTAGGATTGTTAATATCAAAAGTCAGGTACTTATTTTATTCCCAACACAGAAAAGAAAAACAAAACATGTCAGTGAGTTCCCTCTGAGATCTATTACAGCGACCTGACAGTAAAACAGTAAAACACAGTAAAACACTGGCTCAGGCGAGTATTGCAGTGAGTACTTTTCCATACACACACACAGCCACTGAAAGGATTAATGCGCCGCCGTCAATGCCGGGTACCTGTTAATCAAGCAGGTTTAGAAAAACAACTGTGGTTCCATCTGGAACATTGCAGACGGGAGGGAGTGTTTGATACATGGTCATTCACCTGGTTTCTGCTTACTCGATGAATGCATTCCCCCCCCCCACACACCACATCCACACACGCACGCACGCACTCCCACCCAAAGTATAACTCACGTCCAGCCCCCCCCCCACATCAGTCAGAGCTATCGCAGTTGAGATATGTGAAAGTGCACTGTGATTGATTGCTGATTAAAAGAAATCTTACTGGCCCAGCGCCCACCAGTCAAAGGCAATTTGTTTTGTGAGGTTGGTCAACAGTATGGAAAACAGTGACAGGAACCAGGAATGTATGCACATTCCGATAAAGTTCAGAAAGCTTAATATACCCTGAAAATTTGAAAAGTGCCATAAATCTCACAAAATATCGGGCACGTGCTCGGGTGAGATTTGCCCTCTCCCTTGCTTTGGCACGTTTTTTTCAACATAAATTAAGCTTGATTAATTTTTGTTCCTTTTCAGGCCTGCTGTTACCTGCTTGATGTTGGTACAGAAGTGGCTTTGATTTGGATACGGTCACATTTGAAAAAAAAAGATTTTTTTTTTCCTCATTGTATTTTCTTGAAAGCAAGGCGAGTAATTAGGTTAACGAGATTGATGTTGGAGCATGGAACCACTTCACAATTACACGATGCTTTTGTGATGTCTGACATCCCAGTTGCATGTGGAATAAACGCTAACACGATGTACGTTTAAGAGAGTAAAGCAAAATGTGTTCCTGCATGTTACTGCAATTTCCCCGAGTCAAAAACAGGTCACAACAATGCGAAACAGTTTATTAAAATTTCCTAATACCCTTGAGGTCATTACAGCAGCATTAATGAACGCTGCTCATTAAAATACTGTTCAGCAGGAGTCATGTTTGCACCCAGTTTCATCTAAACAATTCGACATTAATTCTAAATTATTCCTAAATCCAATTCTTAAGATTCGGCTTAATATAATTACTCACATTGTGAGTTGTTGAGAAAAACTAGGAATTACCATAAAGCTCTTAAGACCAAAAACCTTGGTCTACAAGTCTGTAATTTGACATCTTGTAGCTCTTTATAAAACATAACTGATTAGAAATGACAGCGTATGTTGTTATAAAGGTAAATGATTGTCAAGTCAATCTTGCCAAGCACTGTCCCACAATTAATTCCAACAATTTGGAGCACTAACTGAAAATTTATTGAACCAAGTAAAAAAGAAAGAAGTGCATTGTTAATGGGTCTCGTCTTAGAATTACAGAATCATAGAATCGTAGGGCTCAGAAGCCATTCGGCCCATCTCCCCTCTGGTTCGTTTGCCAATCTTCTTAAATCTTTGTCCTCTGGTTTCCGACCCACCCGCCCGGCAGCGGAAACACTTTCTCCCCATTTACCCTTTCAAATCCTCTCATGATTTTGAACACCTCTATTAAATCTCCTCCACCCTCTCTGTTCTAAGGAGAACAGGTTCTCAAGTCTCTCCAAATAAATGAAGTCCGTCTCCAAGATCCTGACATGTTTTCGCTATAGATCACTGATTTCCTTTCCTGTGATGACATTGTGAGAGGATTTAAGAGGCGACCCAAAAATTATGTTGAACAATCTCTGTTCCATCACTGTAATTGCTTTCTGAAGTGATTTATGTTAAATTAAATGAAATGTAACATCTACAATCATTAATTACATTTTTTTTAAAAAAAGAAGAGCTATTTTTGTTTCCAGGGTGATGTTGCATAAAATATTCACTGTGCCGATGATAAAAACATTACCGTTAATAGCGACTGGTCTGCAGATCATCCAATGCCCTTTATATCTCCATTGGATTCAAGTTTGATACAAGAACAATAATTGAATTTATGCAGCGCCTTTCGCATCGGGAGGACGTCCCAAGGCGCTGGACAGTCAGGGATTTGGACCAAAGCTGGGGGTTGGGGCTCAGAGGGGTGGAGGGTGGGATTAGGAGGGTGACCGCGAAGGCGCGGTTGGTCGAAGAGGAAGGTCGTGAGTCGGGCCTTGAAGGAGGCGAGGGAGGGAGGGGGCGAGGCGAAGGGACTGTGGGATGGAGTTCCGGAGAGTGGGGGCAGAGAGGCTGAAGGCCTGACCGCCGACAGTGGGGCGGGCCGGGCGAGGGATGTGGAGCAGACCAGAGCCAGCTGAGCGGAGGGGACAGGTGGATAGGAGCACGATCTTGGTGCGTTTCCTGTTCCCTCCTCTCCAATGCCAATTTTGAGCTCCGACCAGTCTAACCGTTCGTATCTTTGAGTTCAGCAACGTAGAGGTTCTCTCCTGACCGAACGAGAAGGAAACTCATTCAGGACACATCACAGCGCTGAGGAAATGGGGCCATGCAACCCAAGCACTCCAGCTGCCATGTTAATCTTCTTAATTGTGATCCGGTATTGAAGACATCATAATTACAGCTTCACACATTAGTGGTGAATAACTGATCGTGTTTCAGCCTCCGTAGGGATGTTGTAACGTATTTTTGGATACTCAGCCTTTGCATAAGATCTGGATCACACATTTCGATTATAAATAAGGTGTGACGAGCAACACGGATGATTCCCTTCGTGTGAGGAGATGAGCTATGAGAATGATTATTAGGTGAGTTTTTTTTCTGTCTTAAAAAACAGACTGCGCCGAAGTAACTTTAATAACGATAATCCTTGTGTTGGATACAACGCCTTATCGTGTTGTTGAGACGTCTCAAAGCGCTTCACAAGAATATACTGTCAAGTGGATTGATTATTTTGTGGGTGAAACGCGGCAGCCAAATGCCAGAGCAGCGTCCCCACAAACAGTCGGGGATCGAGTGACGACATTATTCTTATAATTTTTTTTTTGAAGGGATTATTACCAAAATATATAAAAGATGTCGTAGGCACTAACATAAATTGCCCCAATGCAGTTGTCAGATAATTTCCCGAAAGAGCACTGCTGACGAGCCAGACAGTTTGAACAAGTGCAGGACACAAAGGCCTGCTGTTGTGAATGTATGTACAGTACTATAATAAAATTGATAGGAAGACATTGAATTATATTCAGTACACATAGGTAATTACATCCTTTCCTAGAGTGCATTGTTTGTGCAACACTTCTCGGTTTCACCTCTGTGATTGCCATTCCGAGCACACACTCCGAGACTTTACAATTTTTTTTAACTTGTCACACTGTATAACATTTCATTAATCAACAAATCAAATACATTGAGTGATGATTACTATCAACTGCAAGTCTGAGAGTCAATGTTTCACCGGGAGCTTTATTTTAGCACACGATTTAGATAAGAAATACAATTTCCAATATCATTCTTTAAATCAACGAAATAATGATTATTTTGCGAAACCGTTTTTTTTCCCCGGATATGAAAATATGCATTAGAGTTTAGATTTTTAAACTTTGGTTTAGACTGCGAGCAGATGTAAATTCCATTTCCATTTTAATCTGTTCTACACTTAGCGGTCTCGCGCACTGCGAATTGATCTCAGTTTAGAGGACAACCCGCAAAATATAGTCAATTCACTCGACAAGTATATTCTATGAAGCGCTTTGAGACGTCTCAACGACGTGAAAAGGCGCTATATCAAATGCAAGGATCAGTATTATTTACAGTATATTCTGTGAAGGGTTTTGAGATGTCTCTCGGACGTGATAAGGGGCTGTATCAATATCATTTTTATTATTATTATTATGCAGTAAAAAAAATAGGCAGTATGTAGTATTCTTGCAAACCGCAAAAGCAACACTCAAAAGATTTTTCAATCGGTCCGAGAGATCCTGAAGGCCGAGAGGTGGCCGAAGAAAGGGTTAAAAGGA